GCTGGAGCCGGCGCTGGGGCTCCCCGAGCCGGGTGTCCCTGGCGGTGCCTCAGCAGAGACACTGCTCGGGATTTCATTTTCCGCTTTCCAGAACATAATTTCTGCTACTTCCCTCTGCTTTATGCCTCTGTGTGTGTGTGAGGGTTTTAGCGCTGTGTATGAGCACGGGCACTGATCATCCGCTTGCAGCTCACCGACGCGTCAGTGCTTCCATTCAGTGCTTCCATTCACTGCTTCCATTCAACGCGTACCGAATGTTTTCGTGGTTTTTAAACCTCTCTCTCATGGTTTTTAAACCCCTCGCTTCTGTTTTCCACGCTTGAAAATAGCACGTTAAGCAGCCACCTTAAATATCCTTGCTAATTTAATCCTGCTTCTAATATCCTTCTCTCCTAAAGCTTTAATGGTGTTCCCAGCACATGCACGTGTAACTTAAAATCTGGTATTCAGGCAGTTTCAGATAAAAGAATGGATTTTTTGGGAATGTGTTCAGTCAGAGATTAAAGCTTGAAACATTAGAATTGCATCTAGAAACCAGATATTTCAAATTGTACTGTGTTGTGCATGTTGAGATTGGACTAATGACCTTTGAAGGTCCCTTTTAACCCAAACTGTTTTATGCTGAGTCTTCAAGACTTCATTTCAGCTCTGCTGTATCTTAGCTAAAATAAGTATTAATATAGCTGGAAATCAGTGCAGCACTTCTCTGTAGATTTAATAAAATGTTTGCCAAGTATGGCTTTGAAATAGTTTTTTTGGATCAACTACATTTTTTGGATGGGAGGGATAAAACTATTATAAATATATTACTTCTTACAAAATATTACAGAATATTACTTCTACTTACTTTAGGTATCTATGTAGTTGATACATTCACTAATTCCTTTGTGCAATCCTCATAGTTTTTCTTTCATACAAATATACATTATTTTTTCATTAAGAAAATAAAACAATTTTTAAGTGCTGATCTGGCTAGTAGCTTTACACAAATGGCTGTCCTGGCAATTTCCTGAACATTTTGAAGCCAGCTGGGGATAAAATCTGATGGAATTTGGTTAGTGTGGTGAATCTTATTTTCTCTATGTGACTTAAAATTTGATCAGGTGAGAATTCGTGGTCTTGTACATGGAGAGAATTTCAGTGTTAGACGTTGTGCCCCATTCTGTGTCAGTCCAAGTAAGGCCCATGTCCCGTTAAATGTTCTGTTTTCACAGTCAAGTGTACTCACCATCTCTCCAGCCAGGTGCTGTTGGGATCTTCTTGCTGAGTGGAATATTTTGCCTTTTTAATCATAACTTTAAATTGTATAAAGTGTAATAAGAATCAGTCCAGGGATTAGTTTGACACCTGACAGCCACCATTAGGGAGCTGTGTGCAGTCATTCATTTGTTTATCTCCAAGAGTGGTTAGAGCTGTGCAGTTGGACAATAAGGTGAATTCTCTGGCTCAGGTAACCAATATATTTACTGTAAGATGGGAGGAGTGTTCCCAGTGAGAACCTGGACTGATGTCACTTGTGGTTGTGTGGTGACACTCTGTGAATGACAAAGCTCTGCCTCCTGTGGGGAGGGATGTGCAGGAGCTTTGCACAGTCACAGGTGAGGAAAGACTGTTCTGTGCACAAGGAGAACACCCATCAAAGCTGTACACTCATTTCTTTACATTTGTATGATGTGCTTGTTTGTACAACATAGTTTGTGCAAAATTAGGAAAAGTCAAGATAAACAGCAACATTTTGTATTAGGAAACTGCACATGTGTACATTTATACCTATAGGGGTTTTTTAGGCAGAACTTTTGTCACCCTCATTTTGCAAGGAAAGCTGCACTTAGGCTAAATCTCCAAAACCTGTTTGAAACTGGAGAATAGTAGGTGCTTTGTGAACATTCCTTTGCTGAGAGCTCTTGGGCACACTGCTGCATGTTTATGGTGGCCTGACACTGTGAGGTGAAGGGCCTTCTGCTGCCAGCTGTTTGGGGAAGCTGAGCTGACAGTGTGGTTTGCAGTGTGCAAACTCTGTCCCACACTGTTTATGAAATGGGAAAGGAAGGTGGTTTTTATTGTTTAAAAGCTAAGACCTTTTATTTGGTATAAATGGCTACTGCTTACAGCTGGGAGATGATCCCCTGGCCTGACTTTAGAGTGGTCACTGGGTCTAAGTGATTTCAGCATTCTCCACACAGAGATTTGGGTTTTGTTCCTCAAAGTGGGATCAAGTGCTGGAAGGGAAAGCAAGAGGAATTTAAGGCAGATGACACCATCCGCACAGACTAAATAAAAGATGGTTAAAATAGTACTTTTTAATCTTGGCAGCTGCCTCTTTTATGATTAATTAATTAGAACAGCAGCTTCCTAAGGCTGTTTCTCAGTGGATTCCCCTGTAGTCCCTTGGTGCTCCCTGTCACGGTTGTGTTGGCTGTGCATGAAGCGTTTGTTGTTGGCTGCCCACAGCTGCAGCCTCTCGGTCCCTCTGCCTGGGGACTGAGCAGCAGAGATGCTCTGTGGTGTCTGCCCCACAGCCTGGGCTCGTTTCATTGCCAGGCAGGTGAAACACTGAGAACATCTGCTGGTTTCTGCAGATGGGACTGGCTCTGTTCCCTCAGGAGCTGCTCAGCCATCACTGCCTGAGGTGAACTTGCTGTGAGACCCCAAATCATGACAAACCTCCCTTGTTCCCACTTGTTCCTAGGTCGCTGCAAAGTAGAAAACTGTGGTTGTTCAGGACTTTTTATTTATTTTCTCCATGTGAAAGGACATTCATGGCCTTGCATCTTTTTAAATCCTCTCCTGTAATTATGCAGAATGATTTTTCTGCACCAGAGATACAGCTTTTATGCAAGTCTAGAGTAGGATTTCTACAGAGAACTGGACTAAGTCCTGCTCATTAAGTGGCTTAGGATCATGAGTTATAACCTTCAGAGGGCTCTGCTGAAGAAGCAGGCAAGAATGGATGGTTTAACCTGTAAGTTTGGCCTATTTAGAAATGTTTTTCAACTCTATCCTAAAAAAAGGAGCATAAAGTCCTATGCTTATAGTCCTGGCTGTTTTCATGGTGAAAGGATATGAACCAAGGTTGTTCTTGCTTTTGAGGGATGAATGAAGTTGGAAGGGATTTTAGTGTCTGCCACATTACCCTGGGAAGGTCCTGACTCCAGTTATATTTTGGTTTCTTGTTTAATATTTGTTGCTTTTTCTGTGTACACTGAGTGACTTTCTTGGTCCATTTTAAATGTTCTTGAAGACTTGGTATCTTTTGTTTCATTTTATGGTGTGCTGAAACAAGGATGTGTTTAGCTTTATGGGGACTGACAGTTTTGGCCATGGTATGATGGTATTACAGAAGATTGTGACCCCATGCAGTGATTTGAAGCTCTCACAAGATCTCTGGTGATCCTTTTGTTTTTGCAGAAGATTCTGGAGACGTTGGGGAGGAGGACAGCTTCTTGGGTCAGACATCAGCCAGCCCCACCCCACCACAGACCTTCAGCTACTTCTCTCAAGTTCCCAGCAGCAGCGGTGACCCCTTTGGGAGCATTGGGCAGCCACCCTTGACAACTGTTTCAACCCCTGTGGGAGCACCAGCCTTCTCCAGACCTCCCCCTTCACTTCCACTCGTGTCTGGCTCCCAGGATGGGCAAAATGCCTTTTCACCACATATTCCCAAATCCCAGGCTTACAGTGCCCCAGCCACGTCCCAGGTGGGCGTGTCCCCGTACCAGCCCCCTCAGCAGAGCTGTCCCCCTCCTGCCAGCACTGCCCTGCCCGTGGGGACCCCCCAGCAGCAGGGCTACAACCCCTACAGGCACACCACCCTGAGCAGCAGGGCCAACCCCTACCTCACCCCTCCCCAGCTGCAGCAGAGCCACCCCCCTGCCACAGCGTCCCCTGTGCCACCCGTGCAGATGTACCAGACACCCCCGGGGCCGCTGACACAGGTATGTGACACCTCCTGCCTGCCACTAAACGCCTCACTTTCCTCACTTTCCTCTCCCAGCTCTCTGCTTTATCTTCTGGAGATTTTTGTTCTCTGTAAAAAATCCCAGAAGAAGTCTTGAACTGTTTATAACAGCAAAAGCTTTTCACTAGGAGTAGTTTGGAACTCTTGTTCCAGGAAGTCTTCCTGATCTTTGAAGTGAGTGTGCCCTGAGGCTGTAGCTCTGTGAGCTCTGGGCATCAGGAACAAAAGCAGGTTGTGAAGTTCTGTTGCTCTTTTCTGCGGGTTTCTGAGTTTGCTGAGTTTCAGCTGTGCTGCTGCATTTTTTGTGCCTCAGCTTTAAATCAGGTCACTCAGCCACTTCAAAGGTATTGGCTAAAATCTCTTTCTAAGCTGGTTTTGTTGGTGAAGCCAGAATTTTTTTTAAACTAAGTCATATAAAATTGTCAGCAAATTCTTTGAAACAAATTGGTTGAGGATTTTGTGTGATATAAAGCAATTATCTTCATTATTTTCTGCCTGCAAAAAAGCACTATTAAAGTAATGCCAATGGGTTAATAAAACCTGGCACGTTTGCTTTGAAAATAGCAAAAACTGTTTTTATTTTTGCCTGAGCTATTGTTATATTTCTGTTATCAGGAATAAAGAATGTGAAGGTTATGTAATGACAAAACATAACAAAGGCAGTAGAGCCTAGACAGTCTGGAGTTTTAGACTATATCATTTCACAACTTCTGTTTATTGGGTTTTATATGTTGTACAATATTTTGGTGCCCTCTTTTTTTTTCCCTTTAAATGTATCATCAACCAAGGCAGTTGCTACTGCTGACAACAGCTGCTTTTAGTTGTACTGACTGGGATTTTTGTAAAATTTGTATGAAATCATCTTTATATAGGCTGTAGTCCCTTTCAGAATCAGTTCCTTTTCTTGTGCCACTGATGCTGCATTTGGGTGTGGAGTGTGCCTGTTCTGGTCACTTTGCAGGAAGAGAGCTGTAGCTGAAGTGGCCACTTGTTAAAATGGGGAGTCTTTATGCAGAAGCATAATTATATGTAAATGAACAATGAGAAAAAGGTGTTTTTATTTTTATGTCAAATTTTGTCATTGTAAGAAAAAAGTTCAGCTCAAGTTTTGAAAATTTGAGAGAATATTTGAAATCTCAGTGATTTTCAATAATCATGATGCTAAACCATGACATTTTTAACAGTGTTTGTGTAATGAAATTCACATTCTTTCTCAGTTTGAGAAGGTGTAGGTTCTCTAATACATGATGAATTGGACAATCAATATTTTTAGAATGGAAGGTTATATTCTTGGGGAGGAAAGCATGTTAGAAATAAAGGTTCAGGGTATTTCCTATAGCAAAATATAGAGTTGTGTAAAAACCCTGTGAGACTGAGGTGCTGAGCCCATCTCTTTTCAGTTCCCACCATCCCAGTGCCAGCTGCAGCCTGCCAGGCCTGCAGGGCCCCTGGTGCCAGCCCCTCCTGTGCTGCTGCAGAACCAGTACGAGCCAGTTCAGCCCCACTGGTTCTACTGTAAGGAGGTGGAGGACAAGCAGATATGGATGCCATTCAGCATTCTGGATTCTGCAAAACTGGAGGAGGTCTATAATTCTGGTAAGTCCTGCCTTACCCAGAGGTGAGCAGAAAGACTAAAGGAAAATACTGGGGTAACACTCAGTGTGTGGCAGTAATAAATAATGTTTTGAAGATTTTTTTTTTTGCCACTTAATTTATTTCACTGACATCATCACTGCTTGATTGCTGTCACTGTTGAAATGATTTGGGTGTATATGTATAAAAATGCATATATATGTGTGTGCACACATATATATATATATATATGTATTTTATATATAAATGTAATATACCCAGATCTCAGATTTTCATATAGAACTCCTCATTACTTGTGTCTTGGGTTGCCTTTTTTTTTTAACTGTGAGTTCTGGAATCAGTGTTGGTAGTTGGAAGTTTTTCCAAGCGTTTTGTTGTGTACAGAGCATGCAGAAGCATTCTAGAAGCATCTCAGTGTTGCAAAGCTTCCCTGCCATGCTGTGACTGTCAGTGCT